TTCTCTTTTCATGTTTCTTTCCTTTTAAATATTTATGTAGTTATTACTTTGTATTATTTATATTTTTGTTCAGTGTAACAATAATAGATATACTATTCAAATAAGTGAAAGTAGCCTAAAAATTGAATTTTTTTGACAAGTATTCTACATGAATTAAAAAAAATACAACGAATGTACAACAGAACAACATCAAATTGTGAACATGGCACGTCCAGGGTTCAAATTACTCGCAGGATTGCTTTTTTTTCTTAATTATTGTACAGCAAATCAAATGAGAGAATTGAAGATCCATGCATTGCCTGTTTATGCAATGTTATCAAACGCAGAACTCTTAAACTCAACTCAATGTGGAAAGGAACTTACTGAATTTCGACAAGCCATTGATCAGCAAAAATTATGGAGTTTAAAAGGTATGAGAAAGTACGAAATWATATCTTCTATTAGAGACTTTAATCACTAATTGTAGAAAATAATTATTTATTTAATTATAAACGAGATTTTGGAATGCTTATTTTAGTCGAGCATTGATGTATATATGAGTATGCATGGTTATTTACTTCAAAGGAGGAACAATATTGCAGGGATAGGAATATGAAGGGAAACACTTTTATACACAGCAAATAATAAGTTTAATTTATTTAAAAAGTAATATTACATTAGATATTTATTTAGAAAAAGGCTTTTATAAAACGTGAGAAACTTTGTTCGAAATCTTTTTGGTAAAAACTGAACTAARATTCTTTAAGAAATTACACTTTTTTGAATGTAATTCCATATTTTTTAAATTTTTGTTATTCTTATTATTATTATTACTAACTGGCATTAGGARCTCGAAAGTTCATTGCCGCAAATACCAAATCCTGCCATTGTTCCCGTCCCTGAACGCGATCCTTCCATTCGCGGTCTTCATATCCTATTTCTTTTAGGCCCCTTTTACTATTATCCTCTCATCTATGTCTCGGGCTACCCAGTGGTCTTTTCCTGTTTGGTATATGGACCAATATTTTATGTGCCGCTCGATCCTTCCCCATGCGAGTTACGTGACCAGCCCATCTTAATCGGCGTAATATTYGTTAACATACACTCAGTTTAATCCTACTGATAAGATATATTTAAAATAGGTATTAGAAAAAATACAATAGTAGCCTCACAATCTTACGAAAACAACTGAGAAAAGCAACTCCACTCTTACAAATTGATAATGACTTGCGACCGATGACGACTTCTATTACAACTGCGACTGTTACGACTGACTACTGACTGCCCTTCGCCTCAATCCGCGTCCCTTTATATTTATCCGCATTGCTTTAGAATTTTTCAAACGTCCGGTCCGATGCAATAAACAAAACATCCATATCGCTCGAGAACCTTCTAGACTCACACAGAATCACACACACAACTTAACAACTTACGAAGAACGGACCTTACACCGCCTTTCGTTATTTCGACTATCTGTTTCTTTGTCCTTTATTCTTTCGTCGCCTACACGCTTACCTATGTTTATTCTTCTACACTTAAAACTTTCCTACATAAATATTTTTAAATCTATTTAAAAACTTTAGTTTAACTATATACTATTAAGAATTATAATTACAAAAAGACTGCAATGGTCAATTTTTCAAGTAGATAAARTGAACAATTTATTAAAGTGAAAACTTCTTAGTATAGGGAGTGATTTGACAAAAATAAAACGCGGGTGGGTCAGGCAACGGAGCGATGGGCTTCTAGGCAACAGCAACGATATTTAGTTAGAAGAGAAATAGAGAAAAATATATAGGATTGAGCCTGCGAAAGAATGAGACAGAATATAGCTATATAGTTTTTCCTATTCTCGGTCTCGTCTTTATGCTCTGCTTCGTAGTTATCGCTCCTGGTTGTATATGTGTGCGTTTGTAAGCGACTGCATACTGCGAAGCAWGGACACATATTATTTCGATACTCAAATTGTTTGTAGGTAGGAGTGGTAGAAGGGTAGAAGAATAAACAGAGATAAGCACGTAGGTATGCGAMAAAAGTATAAGGTYCAAGCGAACCGACGGTCGAAATAAAGAAAGAAGATATGAAGTCTATCTTTGTAAATCTGTGTGAGTCTGGAAGGTATACATATATGTGTCATTTCTTTTCTATTTTTCTATTCTATTTTTCTATTTCTATTTTTCTATTTCTATTTAAAAATGTTTCTATTTTATTGAAAAATTTATATTAAATTAACTATTTCGCAAGTATTATAAATAACAATTACGAAATATATAGAATATAATAATTGTATTGCCTGCAGTATTTTACACACACAAAAAAATTGATTACAATATACATCAGAGAAAAAGAATTAGACAACACTGTAAAATATTTTTCCTATAAATATCCAAAAACATGTTTTTTAATTATAATGTTTGCGTATTTAGGAAATTTATACTAATTTTTTATTAAAATAGAAAAGCTTTTAAATAGAATAAACTGGACACGTGACAAAAACAAATATTATTTGCTATTATAAATCTAATAAAAAAACTATAATATAACTTATTTTACAAATATAGAAAAAAAAWTTTTTTCTAATTTTTTATATTATAAAATAATCCTACAATTATCTTACTCTTGAAACTTTACTTTAGTATCATTCTCTTGAAACTTAGATTTTTGAAGGTTTAACTTCTAACACGTGTGATCTGCATACATGTTTTTTTAATTTCCTGGGTTGCTTAAAAAACTTACGAACAGTATATTATTTAATTAGAATAATTTCTTACAAAAAACATCTATTACTGTTTAGTATAAAGCTATGAAACTGCAGAGTTATTACAATGCTTTTGATTTTWAAATATCTGGTAACTAGATAATCTGAAGMTTTATTGTAGTTATCAATTGGCGAAAACTTTGCCGTTATTAATGAAGTGGGAAATGATAATAAAATTGTAGCTAAATCGAAAWTGRTCGAKATCAAAAGTTATTGATTTGACAWTRAATGCCCCATATTTTAGAATAAAATGTAGMTGRCTGAAAAAGATGAATACTCAACTTTATAAAGTTTACATTTATGTGATGTCGGTGAATCACTTTAATCAAAATATAATAAATATTCGCAATAGGCAACTTCGAGAAATAAATTTTTTTATTTAGGATAAAATTTCGACCATGTTTTAAGTAAAAGTAACTGCTAATATAACTTGTATAAAAATTCGAAATAGAATATATACAAAAATATAACGATTACAGAAATGAAMCTATTTATTAAAAAAAATTATTTTTTTAGTATTTTATTTTTTTTATTTAGTAATCGATGCTARCGGCGAACCGAGATCAGGATTTATATATGGCAATAATTATTGGTTGGGTAGCAGAAGTCAATGCGAAGATGCAGGAAACAGAGAGCCCTATGAATTGTCGCCAGAYGTATTACGAAACAATTCAAAATATCGTCATATGGAGGAGGAATTTCCACCATTCAAAGTGAAATTTTTTGTTGCTAATTTTCGACATAATAGCACTTTACAATATCACTTCGAATTGCCCGAAGAAGTAAGTTTCTATTAAGAATAAAACAYACAAACACACAAGTTATTTTAAAAATTTAATTTTATTTTTTAATTTTTCTTTATAGGATTTGATAATATTAGGTATGTGCTTACCAGAATCCTGTTCGAAGGACCATCTTTCTACTCTTCTAGAAATCTTGTTGAGAAATAGAACTCTTTTTAAAGGCGAATTATATTCAGCAGAYTTTACGTTGGTTGAAGTAAGAGATCTAGTCGATGACCATCGATGGTTATTAAGTGGAACATTTATTACAATGACGTATATCAATATTTCTTTTACAATTTACGATAGTCCCGCAAGATATATACAATATAATTATATTTTGTTGTTGTTGTTTTCTGTTTAGAGCAATAATCATACTCACATTACTATTAATGATAATAGGAACGGCTTACGATCTTCTGATATATCAAAAACAATTAAAGAAACATTACAAATATATTCAAGACCGAGACAATTTACAAGCAAGAGGTAAGTTTATTTCATAATTTGTAACACTTTTGTTGTAATATACTTTTGTGCTTGAATTATTCCTTAAAATATCTTTTGTTTATACTTTATTATTGCTTAGAATTTAATAATGGATTCCTGTATGTTCCTCTTGTTTATAAGAGACCTTAAGTGATTAGTAACAATAATAAAGTGAGATTATAGTTAACCCTTGAGAAAATACCATTGATTATTTATTATCATAATAATTATCGTTTTAGGTGACACACAAGCACCAAACGATAATAACATTGATCAACCGGAAAAACTAAAATACCAAAGTTTTCTTTGGAACATGTTTTTAGCTTTTTCTGCATATTCAAACACGAAAAGAATATTTAATATGAAATCTGAGAATGCTGGTATTCCGGTTATACACGGATTAAGATTTTTTRCGATGATAATGATTATTTTAATTCATGTATCTTACTTTTCAAAGGATTTTGTAGGTAAAGTTTTTAATTATTAAGATTGAATTTAAGAAACTTTCTTAAAAGATATTTTAATTAAATTTATTTAATATTATGCATTAACATTATCTTCATTTTTCTATTTTTATTAAAAGAAAACCGGTCAATTGCTATAAGAAAAAAACAAGAATTTTTTGGTCAAATAGTATACAATGGAGGAATACTGGCAGTTGATACATTTTTTTATATTGGTGGTTTCCTAGTCGCATACTTGTATGTAAAAAAAGACATGAGCAAGAATATAAGTAAACCGAATGATTATTTAAATACAATAAAATTATATTTTATCGTTCTCCTGAAAAGGTTTATTAGGTAAGACCATTTTTATAAATGTCAAATATCTAATATAATTGAA